TGAGTCAAAATCGAGGGAGAGATGTGCGAAAGAGGGAGAGAGAGAGAGAGAGAGAGAGAAAGAGACAGAGAGAGAGAGAGAAGCAGAGGGAGCGAGAGAGAGAGAGAGAGAGAGAGAGAGATTGTTCAAGCACGGGTCCGGGCGCCCAGGCTGGCTCTCAGAGTCGAGAGCGTCTCGCCAGTTCGTCAGGGAAGCTGGGCCGCTTGGGCTCAGGCTGCAAAGGAGGGTCTGCATCCTGCGGAGTTGATCGGGGCCTTCTCCTCGAGCGTGGCCTGGGGCCCTGCATCGCGGGCGGCGGCCCGCGCCCGGGCCGCGCCCCCGCGCCCGAGCGCCGCCGCGGCCCCTCCGAGCACCGCGGCCGCCCCGAGCGCCGCGAGGGCGGCCGCCGCCGCGGCGCCCGAAGGCCTCCGCCCAGCCAAGGCCCCGTCCGTCAGCACCCTCGCCCCGCCCTCCGCCGCCCCGGCCCTGCACGCCGAGCAGGACTCGCACCGCTGCTGCACGACCTCCAGGACCATGCCGCAGCCGACCTCCGCGCTGGGGTCCGAGCTGCCGCCGTCCCCGTGAAGCTCCGCGAGGGCCTCCTGGAAGAGCTCGCAGCACGATGTGCCGTCGCACTCCAGTGGGGACCCGTCCACCTGGCAATCGATCTCGCAGCCGTCGCTCTTGTGCTCGCACGCCTCGCCTCCCGCCGGGGCCTTCGCCGCGGCCTCCCCGGGGCACGGAGGCTGAGTGCCGGCGACGCCCTCACACTTGCATTGGCGTGCCATGCGAGGGTCAGGAACCTCGTCGCAGAGGCTGTCGTAGCCGGTGTGTTGGCAAATTGTTGGATCGTTGGCCATGTGAGCTGGGGCGTACTGCCAGACCTGCTCTTCAGCCGCATGCTTCTGGTTGACGTCGACTGCAAGGGCGCTACAATCAAGGCAGAGCAGCTTGTACACGTCCTCCTGGGTCTGTGGCTCGGATTCCCAATCAACATCGACGCAAGTCCCCGACTTGGCCTCACAAGTCTGCGTGCAAGTTGCGCCCTGCTCGCCAATGATCCACAACGCCGCATCGGCCACCGCGGCCACCGCGGCGACTGCGACGATCTTCGCGGCAGGACCCATGGACCTGCGGCTGGGGTGAAGCTCTGGCACACGATGCCTCGCGGTGCGAAGGAAAATGGCTTGAACAAAAATGGCTTGAGCCAAAATGACTTGAGCCAGCCGTGACATGACATTTTGAAGGCCAGCCCTGACCAGCGCGACAGGCAGGACCACACGCATGGCAAGACTTAGGAGTCCCGAAACGGCGCGCTGACGGCCTGTGTGGTGACCACGGAATCCAGACCTCACCGGACGATCAGTCACCGCACCGTTTTGGGACCCTGGAGGCCCCAATCGCCCGAGAAGTCCTCGGAGAACGATCCGAGTCCCTCAGAAGTCGTGGGGGGTAGGGGTAGGGTTCGCATGTGGCCCCCTATTCACCGAAGATGGAAAGGCAACATACGCGTGAGATGTCGGAGGTCCCCGCGGGCTTCTGGAAATTGACGCTGGGCTCCCGGAGCGCGCCAGGGACGGCGCTGGATGCGCCGCCACGGGGGGGCTCAACCTGAAGGGGCCCACAAATACACAAATAAGTGCACACAGGCAACAGGAACCTCCGTATTTGTCCATATGTTTGGGGCTTCTGTCTCTCCCCCCACTTCCCATAGCTTCCAATATTTCCCTGGGAGTCGACGATTCATTGTGTCTGTGTGTTTCTTCCCCTCCTGGCAACCCCGATCCAAGAAGTCCGCGCGGAGCTCCGACAGCTCGAGTTTTGCGCAGGTTACTGTCCCTCGACTCTTGGCGGCGCTGTGGGTCAGCGGCTACCTCGACGAGGACGGCGCCGCCGCGCGCCAGGGGGGTGGCGGGGGGCCAGCACGGGCCCGAGAAGAATCCGCGCGGAGCTTCGACAACTTGCGCTCATGCCGATGGCCCTTCTCCGACCTCTGGGCTCTGGCCCTCCGCCCGGCTCCCCCCCCTCGTTCGCAGACGCCCGGCGAAAGACGGCCAGGAACTTTCGCTGAGCGTGTCGCGGGGCCCCAGGACACACAAATAAATACACACAAATAAAAAGATTCCCCATCTGTTCCAATCTTTTCTGGGAAATCGAGGATTCATTGTGTCTGTGTGTGTTTTTCCCCTCCTGAGCCATGCCCTGCGAGCGGATCGCGTGTCGCTCCGCCCTGCGGGGCGGGAAGTCGGGCAACGCTCGGGACGCTGGCTCTGGGGGACCGGGCAGCGGAGAGCTTGGCCCGCCGCAGCGTGGTGGTCAGAACCGCCCGAGCGACACGCTTTCCAAGGAGGAGGAGGAGGAGGAGGAGGAGGAGGAGGAGGAGGAGGAGGAGGGAGGAGGAGGAGGGAGGAGGAGGAGGAGGAGGAGGGAGGGAGAGGAGGAGGAGGGAGGAGGGAGGAGGAGGAGGGGAGGGGGAGGAGGAAGACATCCCGACCGCAACTTTTTGTTCAATGCGCGGCCCCGGCCCTGGAGGCCACGACCCCTCCCCATACAGTGGAGGCCAGTCCACAAGGAAGCCTTCCACAAGAATCCCAACCCTGAGGCCCCAGGACGTCCATGGAAATTTTGGCGCGGGAGCGTCACTAGGGGGCAAACAAACCGACCTCGCTTTTGACCACCCTCGCTTCCAATAGATACCAAGCGATGCCAAACTACGGCCGGAGGAAGGGAGAGGATGGGGGGCCACATGCGAACCCTACCCCTACCCCCCACGATTTCTGAGGGGGAGGGTGGGGTTCGTGGGGGGTAGGGGTAGGGTTCGCATCTGGCCCCTTAAAGGAGAAGGCCTTCTCAGAAGGCTCGGAAATCCCCCGGCCTCCGGGGAAGTGTGTTCGGAGCCTTCCCCGGAGACAGAAGCCTTCTCAGAAGGCGCGGCAGCTTCCGAGAAGTCCCGCCGCTTTCTGAGAAGGCCTTCTCCTTCTCATTTCCCCCCCTCGCTCTAGAGGGCCGAAAGCCCACCCCGATCATAACCACCCCGACACGCGAAGCCGTGTCGTAAGCGCACCCAAAGAAGAAATCGAACAGGGCAGGGCTTCTTCGTAAACGCCCAGGGCCGTTCGGCGAACGCAAATTGTCTGGTCTGGGTGGCTTCTCCTCCCTTGATCTCGTTTCCCCCCTCGCTCGCCGCCGACTGAAGTGAAGGGGCCCTGGGACACACAGATAAATACACACAAATAAAAAGATTCCCCATATTTGTCCATATGTTCTGGGTTTCTGTCTTCCCCCCCACTTCCCATAGTTTCGCATATTTTCTGGGGAATCGACGATGAATTGCGTCTGTGTGTTTCTTACCCTCCTGATGAAGCCTGCGGTGCCTCCAGCCACGGGGGTGCGGCAGGCGCGCGGGCGCAGGCTGCTCGGCACCACGGGCCCGGTGGGGGACTTCACCGCGGCCCGCCCCTCTGCTCCACCTCGCCTGGGCGGGCAGCGCCCCGCGGCCCCATCCTGGCAGCGCTCTGCGGACGGCGACGAGACGAAGAGGAAGAGGAAGAGGATGAGAATGAGGATGAGGAGGAGGATGATGATGATGATGAGGAGGAGGAGGATGATGATGATGAGGAGGAGGAGGATGATGAGGATGAGGATGAGGATGATGATGATGATGGTACAAGGAGGAGGAGGATGATGGTGATGAGAAGGAGGAGGATGATGAGGATGAGGAGGAGGATGCTCCACCCCGACTGGGCGGGTATCGCCCCGCCCGCGGGCGACGACGAGGGCTCAGACTACCTACCAGGCCCCCCATGCCCAACCCGAAGACCCGAATTTCAGGTTGGGAGGGGTACGGCCTTGCACTTGTGCTTTCCCATGTTCCCCGACGCCCACCCCACACTGGGAATGGAGAGCAAATTCGGGCATTCGAGTTAGGTTGGGGTGGTTTGGTGGGTGGTGAGGCTCGGGGCCACTTTCGTTTTCGCATCGTGTAGGGGAACAAACGGTGAAAGAAGCATACAAACTCTGAGGTCCGCGCGATTTCCAGATCGGCGCTTGGGGCCCCTGGCGGCGCCGGGCCAGGAAAAGGGGTCCAACGCCGATCAGAGAAATCCGAGCTGACAATCGAGTTTTGATGTTCATGTCATTGTTTGTTCGTGCTCCCTGGCGCTTCAGCGCGCTCCTGGGGTTCCTCGCGTGCCTTTCCAAAAGGCCAGAGGGCCTCAATACGGGCCTAGATGGTCCCAAGAGACCTCCAAGACGGCCGAAAGCGCACAAAGTCCCCCAAGATGCTATCAACACGCTGGCTAGCTTTTTCCAACTGGGAAGCTTTCACATGCCAGACGAGGAGAGGAGCACAACCCCGCACATGTGACCGAAACGATCTTGTGCGCGTGAAGGTTTTCTTGCAAAACACATACTATGTGAACTACACCTTAATACGTTCCCATCCCTCCCAATGCTAGAGCCACTCGCCTCTCATGTGTCGATGATGCGTCGACTACGCGTAAGCAGCATTATAAGTCATATGCATAACCATAAACATAAACCTATTCATAAGCATAGTCCTGATCATAAGCAAACTCATACACATAAGCATCATTATAACAATAAACATACTATATGCAAACACATACGCAGAAGCATGACCGCAAGCAAACGCATACGCACATGCATAATCATAAACATAATGATACGCATAAGCATAACCATACACATAAGCACAATCAGAATCATACGCATGACCATAATCATACTCATGTGCATAGTCGCGCTCATGCATAATCCTAGCATAAGCATCAAATAGGCAACACACTGCCTAGCGTAGCCCAGCCACAACAATGACGATGCTGTGTCGAATGCCCGTCGACTGGAATCAAACTTGAATCGAACTTGAATCGAACTAGAAACAAACAATACTCGAACTGGAGCCGAACGAATCCGTTTCGTGGCCCCCAAGAAGAACCCCCAAACAGGCATCTAACCACTGCGCCGAACAATGCAGTCGTCCACCGCTTGAGAGGATGCTCCTCGCCGACGACGGTTGCTCCACCTGCAGCGCCAGCCGCATGCTGCCAACGATGCTGCGCAGGGCCTCCCGATTGGGAGCGCGGGGTATGCGTGAGTAGGAGGGAGAGAGCGAGAAGTAAAACACATGAAGAGGAGGAAGAGGCTGAGGTGGATGAGGGGATTCCGAAGAAGAGAAGTGGGGCGTAGGTGGACACGGGAGAGGACGACAGAGACATAGTCAATGCCGGATGAGCGGAGGTGAGCAAGTCTGGACGTGCTTCGTTGTGCAGTGCATGCAGCGCATATGGAGCAGATGCGCTAATAATGATGACGGGCACGCGCTTTGGAGCCATCCAAGTTGAGGGCGGCGCGAAACCACGAGCCGGCGTCCGCAAAAGGTGGGAGTCGGTATGACCAGCTGCACACCTCCAAACGTGTGCAAGGTGTTGGCTGCCGCGCACGCACTGCAGCGTCAGCGGATGAGGCAGCCGTCCTCTGCGGACGGTGTCCTGCAACCTCCGTGGAAGGGGAGCGACGCGAAGCCGCAATGCCCGCATGCTCGGACGCGCGGTCGGAGAGGGTCGCTGCCACAATCGGCCACCAGTAGTCCGAATCTAGATGCTTCGAGATCTAACGAAATTGCACGAGTCCGCGCAATCGAGGATCGACGATCTTCGCTCTCTTAGAGTCGGGGGACACACATGAATGAGCCGCTAAAAGGCTTCTCGTCACAACGGCTGGATCAGCCTAGAAGTTCGTGCCGAAACTCGATCCAGGAAAGGACCGAGGGCCGATTTTTCAAGGGGGTATGAAGCAGGAGGGGCAGGACCGATACCCGCCAGGGCTGGACACGCTCGGGAACCCTAGCGAAGCCGGGTCCTCACTCTCCTCCGCACCGCCTCCGTCTCCTGCTCCTCCTTCTCCGGCTGGCCCCTGGGAGTTCGAGCAGGCTGCATAAGCTACCCTACATGTTGTTGTCCGCCGAATCGCAGAAAACGCTCCGCATATCTGCGGGGGATTCAAAATACTTGCCGCGCAAATTCGGCTGGAGAGTCCAATCTGGAGAAAATCGACTCTGTAATTCGTCGATCCCCCACTCGAAGCATGAACTTACGGCAAGTTCGCGTCATGTCGACCCCGGCGTTGGTTCCTGACACCGCGGGGATCGTTCAACCTTGAACGATCGGCCGTTTCCGAAGCGTCCGAATCGTTCCACATCGAACGATTCTGGGTGGCCCGCGGCGTTCAACGTTGAACGCCGCTGGCGGGGTCGCCGCCGGTCGACACGACACGAGCCTACCGTACTCGTCCTCCACCGCCGCTGCCTTTCCCCTCCTCCGAACGGCCGTGCCCCCTGGGCGCGCGGGCGCGGCCGCCAGAAGGGCCCGCCTGCTCGGACAGCGGCGGGCAGCCGGCCAGGCCTGCCTCGGGCCAGCGTGACAGGGGGCCGGAGGAGGGAGGACGGAGGTGGGAAGAGGAGGAGGAGGAGGAGGAGGAGGAGGAGGAGGAGGAGGAGGAGGAGGAGGAGGAGGAGGAGGAGGAGGAGGAGGAGGAGGGGAGGAGGAGGAGAAGGAGGAAGAGGAGGAGGAGGAGGAAGGAGAAAAACGGAAGAGGAGGAGGAGGACGAGGAGGAGGGAGGAGGAGGAGGGGAAGGAGGAGGATGAGGAGGAGAGGAAAGGAGGAGGAGGAGGAGGAGGAGGAGGAGGAGGAGGAGGAGGAGGAGGAGGAGGAGGATTACCAAGCGCGCTATAGGCTTAAAGGGTACCTAAACGCATCTTTAAGGATGAGGCGGCCACGTCCTGAAAGTTGGAGGTACAGCCGAAAACGATCGGCCACCCGCTGAAACCAAGGGGGCCAAACCCCACTTAGAACTTGCGGCCGTGCCTCGGGATAGGGTGCCTCTCCGTCAAGAATAGATGCTCGAATTTCTACCCCTCATTCCCGGACTCGGAAGATCCAAAATACAACAATGACGTTTCATCGAACAGCTATTATATTCGACCTTCGGTCGAAAGGCAAACTCCGGCACCATGGACCCTCCCCGATTCTTCTCGACGGTCGGTCGAATGAAACGCCCTGGCCCGTGGACCCCCTGCCACAAACCTCGGGGAGGGTAACTGGCCCTCGGCGAGGCATTTTATTCGACCGCAGGTCGAATGACGAGCTCTGGCACCGTGGGCCCCCCCCGATTATATTCGACCGTCGGTCGAACGACACGCCCTGGCACCATGGGCCCCGTGCCACAATTCTCGGCGGGGGGGGGGCCAGGCCCGGACTCGGCAGATACGAAATACAAATATTACGTACCATCGAGCTGCTCTCTGCGAAACCATAGCCCGGGGGTGACGGACACGGCGCCGAAGAAACGCTCGCGGCGGAGCCACAGCGCGAGGGAGTATCATGGCACTCCGGCGTCTCCCCCCTTTCCAAACGGACCGTGGTCCGTTTGGCCATCGTCACGACGATCGCGGGGGGAGAGCGAGAAGAAGGGGGGGAAGGAGATGTCAGGGGAGAGCCGGGAGAGGGAAGGGGACTAGGAGGGACGCAGACGGGAGGACGGCGATGGCGGCGGGGGGTGCACGGGTGAGCGAAATAGGAACCGGCCCAACATCACAAGGGCCTCCGGGGGATGCGGAGGGATCTCGCGCCGCAGGAACCACCACCGAGGACTCGACGCACCAGTACGGTGAGTGCGGATGGGGGCGCGGAGAGGAAGCAGGGCGGCGCCAACGGTAGGGCGAGGCCGATGCTTCGTGTGCCAGAGCCAACACAATCAGGGGCCAGGTTGGGTCCGACGAGAGAAGCAATAGACAACAGCCGCAAACAGCCCCCGGCTGCGCACAAGGACGTGCGTCCCGCGCAGATACAGCTGCAAACGCAAAAGGCGTGAAGGCATTACGGGCGCGACCATGAGGAGAAGGACCGAAGGTCGGTGGGGGAGGAGAGGAGCAAGGCGGAATAATCGCTTTGTAAATCCCCGCCTCTGCCTCGAAAAGGCCAGCCAAAGGAAGCAGTTCATCCAGCACCTTCGCCTCCTCTTTGGAAGGGTCTGGGCACTTGCGCTGGAAAATCCTATTCCGATTGCTGCGACTGTGGTCGCTTGTAAACCTGTGTTTGCACGCCAGGAGGAGGAGGAGGCGGAGGAGGAGGAGGAGGGAGGAGGGGGAGGCCTCCAATCCCCTCCGCCCCGTCAGGTGCATCTGTTCAACCTGTTTCTCGTCCATCGCGCTTCGGTTATCCATTATATCTCTCTCTTTCTCTCTCTCTTTCTCTCTCTCCTTACCTCTTGTTCTTTTCTTCCCCTTCTCTCGGCGCTTCCGGGTGGGAGGGGCCCGAGGGCATCGGAGCATCGACGTCACCTTGTCTGCAGCTTCGATGCATCGGTGGCGAGGACGAGAAGGAGGAGGAAGAGCAAAAAGGCAAAGGCAAACGCGGTCAGAGGACGAGCAGTCGTCCTGAGAGGCGTGCTGTATCTCTGCGTAATCATGACATTGAGCAGGCTCCCGTTCTTGCTGACAGGGCTGCCCACGGGGGGGCTCGTAGGTACTGTTATGCACGACGAGCCGCTGGTCCACAAGGAAAAGGAAGGAAGAGGAGTTGGAGGGAGGCCCCGCACTCGTCGGTCGGTCGGTCGGTGCGAGTCGTCGGTATTTAGTGGGTCGTCGATATCGTCATCTTCGTCGGCCATCGCCGTCAGACGCTGTCGACGTCGGTCGTGGGCCATCGTCGTCGTCGTCGTCGTCACCGCCAGAGGAGGAGGAGGAGGAGGAGGAGCGGGCGGAGCAGGGAGGAGAAGAGGAGAGGAGGAGGAGGAGGAGGAGCAGGAGGAGAAGAGGAGAGGAGGTGGGGGAGGAGAAGGAGGAGGAGGAACTTGCCGCACTGCCGCCAACGTCGTCGACGAGCAACTTCTCCTGCCTCTTCCCCTTGTTGGGGTGAGGCTGGGGGGGCGGTTGACAATACTCTTCAGACGCTCGTGGGCCGTCTTAAGCACCTCCCGTGCCGCGCCGGGACCATCCGTGGGCCCTGCGGATATCATGGGGAACACTAGGGCTATCTTGGAGGCCCTCTCGTGACATGCGTGGGGACACTCGGATCAGATTTCGAGTAAGAGATCGACTACGTGCAGACATGATTCACCTCAAAATCTAAGCGTTCGTAGAATTTGCAACCTAGTACGAACAAGCTGCGTAGATCTACGGGACGCTCTACGCATGTTCCGTAGATCCGACAACAAACAAAGCAATTCTGTTGTACATCAATTATGTTGTCGATCTCCTATTCGAAACTTGGAGGTTGGGGCGGGGCTGCTGGGGTGCCGTTTGGGGCCAACGTCGGCGGCATACGGCGCCCTCTATGGGGCCCCTATGGGCCGCCCTCTTCACCGACCCGACGCGCATCACGGCGACCATCGGAACCGCCGAGCGGAGCCCACGCGCAGGTCGCGACATCCGACCCTGCCCCCACCACTCGCCGATTCTCCCGGAATAGATGGGAGGCGGAGCGGTGGGGTTCGGACTCGCGTGCGAGACGAATTCTGAACCCTACCCCCGCCGCCCATCGAGTTTTCTGGATCGCTGATCGGCGAGGGTCGGATTCGGATCTCGCCGCCGAACACTCCTTGGGAAACCAGAGGGCACAGACACCGTTAACCTCAAGAAGGCATTGAGAACCCCCCCCCTTTCCGGTGGATTATAACGCCCCCGCACCCTGGAGCGGTATGGCCGCACCGGAGGACCTGGCTGCGGGGACTCGAGGCTTAGCAGGCTCAGACTGCTCAGACTCACTCACACTCAGAATCCTTGCGTGCCCGCTCCTCGGGCTCTCTCGTATTTCTGGGTGCGCGGGTGCTAAGATAACGCGGGGGTGCGGGGCGGGGGGATACCCTGGGGTGGGCCGCCCCTTGGAAGGCCGACGAAAGTCCCACCAGCCCTTTGGGCGTGAGTGGTTTAGAGAGCTCTCTCTGTCCTCAACCCCCCTTCTTCCCCTTCGGGGAGGGGTTTACCCCTCCCCCTACCCCCTCCCCTGGACCTGGAGAGGGCGGGCCGAGTGGTGGCAAGGGGGTCTTTTTCGACTCCTGGGAGGGCCGAAAAACGACGACCCTCACGAGGATTCTGGCCCCGACGGGGGGGGACGCAGTTTGGCCCCTCTGCTCTTCTTCGAAGCCAAAAACATTGATTGTACTAGGGTTGTGGCCCCATTTTGGCCTTTTGAGGGGGCAGCGCTCATCGTCCTTTATAGCAACATCATTGATTTTACTAAGATGTTGGGCTCATTTTGTCCTTCTCAGGGGGCAGCTCTCATTTGCGCTTCAAAGGAGGTCGCAAGAGGCCCCAAGATGGCCCCAAGAGGCCCCCAGGAGGCTCCCAAGAGGCCTCCAAGAGGCCCCCCAGAGGCCCCCAAGCGGCCCCAAGAGGCCCCCAAGAGGCCCCCAAGAGGCCCCCAAGAAGAGGCCCCAAGAGGCCCCCAAGAGGCCCCCAAGAGGCCCCCAAGAGGCCCCCAAGAGGCCCCAAGAGGCTCCAAGAGGCCCCCAAGAGGCCCCACGAGGAGCCCGAACGACTCACACCAGGACGAGGGGCCCGAACGACTCACACCACGAAGAGCCCGAACGACTCACACCACAAGGAGGGGCCCGAACGACTCACACCAGGACGAGGCGCCCGAACGACTCACACCACGACGGAGCCCGAACGACTCAAACACGAGGAGCGCTTTCTCTCCCTCCTCCTCCGCCTCGTCCTTCTCCCGCTCCCCCCACAAGGAGGATGTACAAGGAGGCGGGAGGAAGGAGGAACAGGGGAGATATGCGGGGCCAAGCGGACACACGCCTGAAAAACACGACTGTCGGCATGCTTCGCAAGAGTTGCTGCTGTGAGATGGGCTGGTGGGGATACGCGAAGCGTAAATAATTTATTTCTGTAAGGGGGATGTAAAAGGAATCGCGTGGGAAGAGGAGGAGGAGGAGGAGGAGGAGGAGGAGGAGCCAGGAAACAATAAGAAAACACAGGAACAGCAGAGTTGTGCCTGAGTTGTGGCTCAGGGATTTGAAAAGTGCCTGGGTTGCGTGTCAGACACTGGAGCAGTGCCTGGGTTGTGGGTCAGAGACTGGAGCAGTGCCTGGGTTGTAACTGAATCCTTCTGCTCAGACTCACTCACATGCAGACTCATTGTGCTCAGACTCATTCACATTCAAATTATCCCGGCAAAGCAACCTAACAGCGATGTGTAGGAGCATATCTGGAAGCATTCCCCTTAAGATTCAAATGAGAATCCAGTTGTAGAGTTCTGCTGTTCTCGCAGTCGTAGTCGCATTCGCGATGACAGTCGCAGTGGCAACGGCAGTCGCAGTCACAGCCTCAGCCTCAGCCTGCCTCAGCCTCAGCCTCCGCCTGCCTCAGCCTCAGCCTGCCTCAGCCTCAGCCTCAGCC